CCAGTCCCAAAGACTGAACACAGGATCAAATCTATCCCAATTCTACTTTTCCTAGATGCAAAAGTAAATCCTCTCTGAAGGAAGAGCCAGAGCCTTACATGCCTTTTTGATATTTCATTTTTATAAAGTCTAGTATTCAATCAAAAATTACCAGGAATACCAGAAGATATGACCAACAGACCAAAAAGAAAAAGAAAAAGAAGAAAGAAATAGATCTACAGAAAAACCAGATACTGGAGTCAGCAGAAAATCCTATATGCCTACAAGAGGAACATCTTAAATATAAGGATGCAGACAGGTTGAAAGTAAAAGGATGAACAAAGATATACTATGTGACTACTAATCAAAAGAAAGCTAATCCTCTCAGTAAACTAGGAATAGCCAGGAATGTTGTCAATTTGATAAAGAGTATCTCCAAAAACACTACAGCTAACATCATACTTAATGGTGAGGAACCAGAAGCTTTTCCATGAAGATCAAGAACAAGGCAAGGATGTTCCTTCTCATCACTTTTTTCCAACATCATACTGGAAATCCTAGCTAATGCAGTAAGACAAGAAAATAAAATAAAAGGTATACAGATTGTGAAGAAAGAAATAAAACTGTCTTTATGGATAGCATGACATGATCATCTATGTAGAAAATCCAAAAGAATCAAAAAAACTCATGGATCTAATAAGTGATTATAACAAGTTTGCAGGATACAAGGTCAGGATACAAATGTCAATTGCTTTCCTACATACCAGCAATAAATGGAATTTGATTTAAAAACAAGTACCATTTACATTAGCACATGTGAAGGTTGAAGGTCCCTGGGTTTTATCAGGTGCCAAAGCATCAAGGAGACTACATCATTGGCCCACCACCGAGGCACCCCTGCCTCAGCTAGCATGGTTCTGCCAACCCTAACAGATAAAGCCATATTTTTAAAAAGCAAGATTAGTTTTCAAGTCTGGGAAAGGGTGCTGGGTGGCAGTGGCAGAGAAGGGGAAAGGAAGGGGTGATGAACTAAGTCCCCGGTGTATTTGGAGATGGGTCAGAACTTGAATATTGTAGAAAACTGTTCCCATCCCCTCTGACACCAGCTAATGATTTGTCTTCACTGCTGTGTTTAGCTCGGGCTGTCATCACTTCTGATGTGGCTCCTGTAGATCAAAGGAGGCAGTGTACAGCCATGTCACCGCTGCTATCGCCTGCACAGAGGCCCTCAGTGGTGACTTCCAGGGTACCCGGCTGGGGTTCTGCACATCGTTACCCAGATTAATGAGGACAGATGGGTTTTTGTATAATCAGCCGTACTCTGCTGCCAGTCTGGTTTGGTCGCCAGGTGGAATATTTCAGTAATGAATAATTACAAATATAGCAACCAATGCTGACTTAGGAAAAAACAAAACAAACAAAAAACAATGATGGAGTGTTAAAGGTTGAAAATAAGAAGATCCTGCGTTATGTTGCACAGGGTTTGCCTGAGGGTGAGAGAGAAGTTCAAGATGAGCAGGCTATACAGTTCCAGTTACCTTAATAACAGGTAACAAAGGTGAAAAACGTGGAGCATCACATTTACTTTCCCTTAACATGCCCCTATCCTTTGACTGCTCTCAGCAACTCAGGCTGCACCTTTGGTTAAAATGCAGCCACTCCAGGGTACCTACTGGGACTCATTTGTAAAGGAAATGGGAGGTATTCAAGACTTGAGCACATGAGGGATTGCGTTCTATGTCGAGACTAGGAGGATGGATGCAGGACTGGGCTGGGAAGGGAAGATTGTGAGAGAGGGTTGAGAGGTGGAGGGTGGGAGGGCTGCTCGCTGTGAAGATGGCTGTGTGCTGTGGGCATGGCTGGCTGGGGCCACATGAGCTGAGCAGATTCCCCAATGGAGATAGAGCTGGCAGGTACATTTCTTTTTTGTAAGAAATGAGTCCAGGAATGTCAAAAGAAGCTACTGTATTTGCCAAAGTAGGTGTCAATAGCGTTTAACCTTCGTTATACCTTTTCTGGTGGCTTGCAAGTCATCTCTTCTTAGCTGTTTCGTTTTTGCTGTAAATTTGCCTCCCTCAAAACAAAAGTTGACTTCTCCACACACAAATAGATTCCTTCTGCTCAATGCACTTATCAAATTCACATGCACTTATTTTTCTATGCTGCAATCTGTACGTGCTAATGTGTAAAGATCTCTGACATGGATTTTTTAAGTGAAAAATGAACTGCGCAGAAAAGTAGGATGAACTCCTTTCTGTAATTTTTTAAAAAGCATGTGTGTTTGAATGTTCATAGCAGCATTATTCCCAATAGCTGAAAAATGGAAACAACCCAAATTTCCATTATCTGACAAATGGATAAACAAAATGTGGTATATCCATACATTGGAATATTATTCAGCCACAAAAAATGAAGTACTAATACACATTACAACATGGTTGAATCTTGAAAACATTATGCTAAGTGAAAGAAGGCAGACACAAAATGACTCCATGCTGTATGATTCCATTTATATGAAATGTCCAGAATGGGAAAATCCAGAAAGACAGACAGTACATTAATGGATGCCAGGGGCTGGGAAGAGGGGGAAATGGGGAGTGACTGCTAATGGGTACGGGGTTTGGCGGGGAGTGGGTAATGAAAATGTTCTACAGACAATCCCTGATTTGCAATGGTTTGACTTACAATTTTTTGACTTTACAATGGTGCATGAAACATAATTTCAATGTACTTCAAATTTTGAATTTTGATCTTTCCCCAGGCTAGTGATAGTCGGTACCCAACTGTAGCAATGCGGGTCAGAACTCGCTCCATCCTCATGGCCTTTGGAGCTCTGGCTTCAGTCTTTCCCCTGCACAGGTTGGTTAGCAACTGAGGGAGGGAAAATTACAGAATGCTATGCTTGTGTAAGACAAGGGAATGATGCCCCAACCCCAGGGACAAGCAACAGGAGGCTGTGGGGTGCCTGGGAATCTTCCACTTCCATGGCCTTTCTCTCCTTGGCATAGCTCCACTTCTGTGCCTAAATCCCTTATAAGCTTCAGCTTCTCCCCTCTGGGGTTGTGGAAAAAGCTGCTGCATAGCGCCAGGATCGATAGTGCCTGATCCATTCCCTGTGAGTAACCACCAATCAATAAGAAGAAACTCCATGTAAACTGTATGGAGTTGCCTGCTTCCTTCTTTGGTCTCAGGATACCTTCTCAGTTTGGGGGAATTATACTGTTAGCTCACACTCAGACAATGAGATATTCAACATTTTATTCTAAAATAGGCTTTGTGGTAGATGATTTTGCCCAACTGTAGGTTAAGGTAAATGTTCAGAGAACATTTAAGGTAGGCTAGGCTAAGCTATGATGTTTGTCAGGTTAGGTGTTTTAAATGCATTTTTTACTTACAGTATTTTCAACCTTAGATGGGTTTATTGGACATAACCCCATTATAAGTTGAGGAGCATCTGTAGAATTTAAATAGTAATGATGACCACACAACCTTGTGAATATACTAAAAAACTTTGGCTTATACACTTTAAAATGGTGAATTTTATGATGTGTGAATTATATCAGTTTTGAAAAACTATAATTTTAAAAAATTGACAGAAGTAAAAGGAGAAACAAAATCTACAATCATAGAGATTTTCCTCTCTCGATCACTGATGGAACAAAATTAGTGAGGATATAGATATGAACAACACAATTAAAAACTTGCACTAACAGACACAGGTAGACGACAGCATCTAGCAGCTGCTGAAGCAAAGCCTCCACTGACGGAGCCCTCACTGTGGACCACGCTGTGGACCAGGCTCTGAGCTGCACACGCAGCACCTCATTGATCCTCTCTGTTCTCACATCGCCCTCTTCACAGATGAGGAAATAGAGGTACAGAGAGAGTGAGTCTCTGGCCCAAAGTCACCAGCTTGCTCTTAACCTCCCCATTCTATAGATGAGGAGTGAGACCCAATGACATGAAGGACGCTGCTCTTAAATGGCAGAACGCAGATGAGGAAATAGAGGTACAGAGAGAGTGAGTCTCTGGCCCAAAGTCACCAGCTTGCTCTCAACCTCCCCATTCTATAGATGAGGAGTGAGACCCAATGACATGAAGGACGCTGCTCTTAAATGGCAGAACTTGGACTTGAATAAATGTGACCCTAGAAACCAAGCAATGAGCTACTGACTTCACTCCTGCTTCATGACACTGCAGTGCCTATGACTTCCACAGAGCCCAAGACTCAGGAGCTAGTGTATGTGGCATCTAATCTTCACAAAACCCCTGTGAAGTAGGTGTATATTAGTAAGTTTTCTGTTGCTAATAACAGAATACCTGAAACTGGGTAGTTTATTTATTTATTTTTTTTAATTTATTACAGTTTTGGAGGCTGGGAAGTTCAAGATCCAGGGGGCACATCTGATGAGGGCCTTCGTCTTGGTGGGAACTCTCTACGGAGTCCCATGGCAATGCAGGGTATCACATAGCGAGGGCTGAACAAGACCACACTAACAGCTTTCTTCCTCTCCTTACAAATCCCCTCGTGCCACTACTGTGATAACCATTCACCCATGAACCCATTAATCCATGAATGGCTCAATCCATTCATGAGCACATTGCCATCATGGTATAATCATCTCCTAAAGGCCCTACCTTTCAAATATTATTTTGGGGATTAAGCCTACAACATGAGCTTTGGAGGGGCCAACATTCATACCATAGCAAGGCAAGACAAGAGATCTCAGGGAGTTTATAAATGAAGAAACTGAGGCACAGATGCAGAGAAATGTACATTGAGGGTACGCTCTGAATGCCCCGCCCACCAGGTAAGACCGTCAGAAATTCCAAAGAGAGGAAAAGGCAGCAAAGCACACATCAAGAGCTCTTTAAGTAGACCTTAAAAACTGCTGTTTTGCCATGTATTAAACACATTTTGATTCTCTGTATATTTACTGGAGTTTTATGATTAGATGATAAATACAGGTTCCAATTGATCACATTCACAGACTACATTTCGTCTGTGTCAGGTCAGAAAGACAGTGATCACCTTTGTGAATAATTTCATTGAGTAAAGCTGCCCTCAGGCTTAGCTAAAGATAAATGCCTAAAACAGCCACTTCCAGGAGTTGGTTTACAACTGATTTCTGTTCTCTGGCACAGAAAATGCAAATAGTCAGACCCATCTCTTACACGGCAAGTCACTTGGCTTATTACATTTCATGTTCACCAGATCCACTTTATAAAGGAGTGAACTGACACTCAGGGAAGTTAAGTGACTTAGTTAAGTTCACACAGCAAGGAAGCAGCAAATCTGGGACATGAATCCAGGTCTGCTGCTAGCTAAGCCAGTGTTCTGTCTAAGGGCACTATCAGGCCCAGGATATTTCAGCCATGTGGGGCTGTAGGACCTTGTGTAGATAAAGGCATAACAGACAGACATGCCAAGGGCTAGGAGGGAGCAAAATAAGCTGGAAATTCTCAGAACTTTGGTCCTCAAAGGGCCCTTAAAAATCATCCAACACACCCATTATACAGATGGTCAAACTGAGGACCATCCAAAGAAAGACTTGCCAAAAGTTACACAGTTAGAAGCGGCAGATCAGATCCAGAACCTAAGTCCATACCAATCTCATCATTCTACTGACTTTGGAGAACAATTTGCAGAAACTGCTATGCAGATGGCAAAGCAATCAATCCACAGGATTTTTTCTTCCTTAGCAGGTCCAGGTCATGCACGTAAGGTGCAGTATTTGTCCTTGAGGAGTTTACAGTCTAGCTAGTAAAACAGGCATGTGCACAGAAAAATAAAATCAATAACATAAAATATCAGTGCAGGCAGAAGCTGTGTCAAGAATTTAAAGAAGGCAGAGAGCAGCAGGGCTGGTGATGCTGGAAGGCTTTCTGAAGGACAGGTAAGAAAAGCTGGGCTTTGAAGCATGAATAGAAGTCCTTCGGATAGAAAGGAATAGGTATGTCAGTCCAGGAAAGAGTTTCAGCTTATGAAGGGTTTGGGGAGAGATACAGCCACTACCGCAAACGAAGTCCCGGTCTCGGGGGCTGGGAAGCCAGGCCAGGGCTTTTGGACTTGGGTCTATGGAACGACAGGTCTTCAGACTTGTTCGGGAATAGAACACCTAGAAGCCTCTGAGCCTTTCACAGAATTGCACGAGTAACTGATCACACTTCATGCAGGGACAATGTTAGTGTCAGAAAACACGACTGCTGGCTCCATGTCTGCAGTATAAAACCACACGGCCAAGCGTGCATGCCTTTGAACCAAAGAAGTCCTCAAGCCAATCAGAACCAGTCTTCTCTAAACATTCCCATTAATAGTTACCTGCCCTTTCTCTCTTTCTTCTGTCTTCCATCTTCCATCTCTGTCTTTTGCGGCCTGTGTGCTAGCAGACGACAAGCACAGGGCCACTGTTTTTCATAAAATATAGGGAGAGAAAAACATAAAAATGGAGGAAATTCTGGGAATTTACTTCTTTTTTTTCAGCTTGGAATGAGGCAATGCCATAAAGAGCAACTGCTTCTCTGAGCCTCAGTTTCCCCATCTGACTGGAAGGGGTTGGGAATGGGAGCATCATCTGAGATCAAGCTTCAGACACACAATGTGCCCGGTCTGGTTATCTTCACATTTCCTGGGCTCTTGGGCAGTGAAAGGGATGGGAGACCAGCCCTTCCATCCACGTCCACAGTTCGGAGTGGCACAGAGAGTAGCCTGGAGCGTGACCAGCTCAACACCCATAAGCTTCTGCAAAGGCCAGGGTTTAGTATGGAGTCTCAACAAGGCATTTTTGTGCAGAGCCCTGGAGTGAGCAAGACACCTCTGCTGCTGAGATGACTGACCTTTTAGAGTGCACCCATGCTTCTCTCATCATGAGGCCTCTCCCACTTCTCAGTCTTGGAGCAAGATGAGTACCTGCACCCCTAGGTCACCTGGCCAGGAATGGGCAGCACCCTGTGCCCAGGATGTGGGCTTCTATGAGCTGGCAGGGGCATGGAACCCTCGGAGCGTCCATGTGTCTTGTCCCCACTACCTGGGGGAGCTGGGAGGTCACCAGGAGCCGGATGTAGTAGCCACCAAACACTGCCAGCAGCTGCCGGGCCATTTCCTAGAAGAGGCAGGGAAGCAGAGTGAGGGCCACCGGAAAGCACCTTGGAGCTCAAGCATGAGGGGAAGGCCAAGCCGTCCTCTTGTCCCTGGACCCAGGAGCGATGCTCACTGGGAAGAACCAGGCCAGGCCAGTTCAGCACCTGTGGTCATGGAGGATGCCAGCCTAGTATAGAAGCCCAGCTCTATAACTCACTGGCTACAGGGCTCCTGCAACCTCAGTTTCCTCATCCCCAAGGCAAGTAACTAACAGCTGGTTGGCAACAATAACATGTACAAAAAAGATATGCCTCCTCAAAACACTAGAGGAACCACCATTGATTTATACCTGGCCAGCCACACACACATTTTCTTTCAAATGTCTATGAGTCTATAAAGCACATGAGGTCAAGATGACTCACCTGAAGAAAATCACTAGTTGCATGGGAGGAGTGGAGGGGAGTATTCCCATTATAGAAGAATTCTTCTATTCATACAAGGTACCTGGTAAATTTCTTCACCCAAGTACTCCTAATATATTAAAAGACTTTGCTTATAAAAATTGAATTTATCAAAAAAGGACAAATACTGTATGATTCCACTTATACGAGGCTCCTGAAATAGTAAATTCGCAGAGACATAAAGTAAATGGTGGTTTCCAGGGATCAAGGAGAGGAAGTGAGTGTTTAGAGGAAGTTGGTGGAGCCTCAGTGTGGGAAGAGGAAAACATTCTGGAGATGGACGGAGGCAATGGCTGCACGATAATGTGAATGTGCTTAATGGCACTGAACTTTACACTTAAAAATTAACAGGTTAAATTTTATATCACATATATTTTACCACAATAAAAACAATTTTAAAGTTTTAAAACAAAAAGTGTTTAAGAGCATGGATTTAATACATGTTCTTATTAACAAACCTGGTCTCTAAAGTTCCATTCACTGGTCTAGCAATTGGGATTACAGGGTAAATGCTTAAATTCCTGAAGTGTGGTGTTGAAGGTCTTTCACAATACTTGTGTCCATTCTGAATGTAATAAAATAAGGTGTGGGTTACATCAAGGCTATTTATGTCTGTAGAGTTAGTAATTAAAAACCGGCTTTAGAGTCAAAAAGGCCAAGAGGGAATTTCAGCTCGGCCACTCTGTGACTGACCAAGTCACTTCACCTTGCTGAGCCCATTTCTTCATCAGTTAAAATAGGAAAAATAGGAGCAATGCTGGAGTGAACAGGACTGAAGCCATGGTGGGACCTAAAACCTCATGGGCCCTAGAATATTTATTCTAAAAAGACACAGTTTTTTCCTTGGCATGCATTTCTCTGAGTTTCCTCTTTTCCTGTGGTTATTTGATTTTTTGAACCTTGGTTATGTGGCAAGATGACATTATTTACATGAATATAAAGTTGTTTTCCAGTCAGCCTGGAGCTGCAGACCTGCATGTACTGTCCAGACCCTGGGAAACCAAGGAAGACATCAGTAAGGCTATGCTGACTCCACGCCTCCAGCAGGACCCTGAGGTAGCATCAAGCCTGAGAACAGACACCAGACGGAGCCTTGGCGAGACCTTGCACCTGGCTCCTTGCAGGGAGCCCCCTCCCTCCTGCTCTTCATTCCATTCCCTCAACCCCCTCTTTAAAAAACCCTCAATAACTCTGAGTCTTTGAGATGGCTTTAGTCTGGCCAATCTCTTTCAGGTTTACCAGAGAGATGAGTTACCCTAACATCTCTTCTCAGGTCACCAGTATTCCTGGATAAAAGCTGACTTCCATTTTCACCAACATTTGACTTTTGAGTGGTTTGTTTTTGAAAGGGGACAGGCAGCCAGACCTGTGCCCGGTAACAGCATCTACCTTATTGAGCTAGAGTGAGGACAGAAGGAACTAATGTACAGAAAGCATCTAGCCCAGCACCTAGTGCTCAATAAATGTCACCAATATCATTACCATCATTATTATTCAAAAAAGCGGAAACTCCACATGGTTCCTAGGACTGGCTTTTGTTTTGATTGTCATTTTTGCTAGAAAATATTAAAAACATCAAATAGTTTGCCACTCACTAATGCAGGCTGGTCTTCTTGCCAATTTAGTAGTCTAAAATCAATAACGTAAGAAGCAAAGAACTGTAGCAAGAAACTTGGTTTATTTAGAATCAACAGGGCTGGCTTCTGCCCTTAGCTTTGCCACATTCTCCCTTGTTCCATGACCTTGGGCGAGTCATCTGACCTCTTGGAAACTTATTTCACCCATCAAGGAAGAAGGGAAAATAATCCATACCATGGAGGGTATGCTGAAGATTTTATGCATGATAAAAGTCTAAAAATGTAAGAGGTCATTATAACTACCTCCATCTTTCACAGATAGTGAGTTCCTACTGAAATGTGATGATCTGGCTCATGCTGAGACTTGGGCATTGATTGTATTTCCCTAGCTAACTCATAAGGGCAGCCACTTTAAAAACGCGCACATACATTTGATATTCACGACAAGAAGTTGTATTACTACTGGTTTGAATGAATTTGAAAAAATAATTTAAAGGCCCATATTTAATAGGTTATTGCACATAAACCCAGGTGTGCTCATCATAATAAAGTACATAATCTTTTCTGCCCTTTAAAAAAAAAAAGTCAATAAAGAGATGAACACATTTATCATTTTCTCATCTAAATAGTCCTATTTGTAGGCCTCCCACTCTCCAGTGCAGAAATCTGGGCTAGTTTGGACAATGAATTCCCAAACCTCTTGGCTAAAAAGAAAATGCAAGCATTGTTCTGAAGTTCCAAATGTCATCTGAGGTCCCCCCTTGCTGCTTGTCTCCCTGACAGGGGGTCTGTCCTCATGGCAAAAAGAAGGTAGCACATGCCACAAACCACATTTTCAGATTTCTGGTCTACCAATACTTAGCTATAACCAACAAATAGCTTGGATGGCAGAACACAGCAGAACTCTAGGGCTGGAGGAATGGGAATTCAACAGAGACGCACATAAGATTCAAATATCCAACTGCAATTTAAGTATGTAGATGGATGAATGATGGTTGGATGGATGAATGATGATTAGATTGATAGACTGATAGATTGATAAAGACCCAAATATTCATCAATACGTTCATGGTTAGATAAGCTGAGCCTGTTTCCTCCTCTGTAGCATTGGAGAGAGATCTCCCTGAACTTCTTAACATATGGTAGAAGGCAGTTTGAACAAGTGAAAGTGTCTAAATACATGAGACTTTCGGATGTGCCAGAATTGACTAGTAGTAGTAGTATTATATTATTATAATTACAAAGAAATATACACTCACTATAGGAAATGTGGATGAAAATTAGATGAAAGCAATTAGCTGAAAAGAAGCAGGAAAACAACCACTGATACCACATAGTTAATCTTCCTTCCAAGTAACTTTTTCTTAGACATTGTTCCAACACTGCAGTCACGCGAGCTACACAATTTGGCCTCCTGGTTTATTTCTGTTGTTGTTGTTTCTCCACTTAAGATACCTTACCTCTTGGCTAGTCTTCATTTCTTGAACATAATCCGACAAAAACTGCACACAGTTCTCCAGGTCGAAGTAGACAAACCAGAGCTGTGGAGAGAAGCACCATGACTGCTGGGACTCGCCACCCCCGCGGCTGTCCTCCACCTCCCGCCTCCTGCTGGAGGCCCACGCTTCTGAGCACCACCAGATTTATCCTGCTCTCTGGCAGGAACATGCCATTCTGCTCCTGCCCACAGTCCCACGCCATGACCACGTCTCATTTGGACAGGTGGTAAAAAAACGGCTTTGTGTGCAAACTTAGAAAATACCAAACCCTGTTCATAATGGCTGTGGCCCCATCTCCCACAGTCACTGAGCATCCCAGACAGACTCCAAACCCTCTTGAACATCACATATCCGCCTGGGGTTACCATCATCGTCCTCAGTTCTCAGGCTGCCTGTCTAGACCCAAACGTGCACATGAGTGAAACCTTTCAGAGCTGACACCCCCACGGCCAGGTCCCAGGTAATCCGCATGGGTGCTCTGCAGGGAGGGGAGTAGGGTAAGAGTCCTCACCCCACTCTTACCTCCCCTTCTGCCTCAACCTGAACAGTCCCCAGGAGGCCAGGTTAAACTTAACCAGGCTGAAATCCTCGTGTTGGTGGGGCCACACCTGCCACACATCATAACCAAAGTTCTGCAAGAAGCTGGTGGCCCTTGTCTCATGCCCACCTCCTCTGGATCCCAGAGCTCCCCTCCCAATGACTGACCCTTGAGACCCAAAGTCACATCCCTCTTGCCAACTAGTCCCTCCCACTGTCTCATTCCCATGGGAGCATTTTTCCAATGATTCTTTCAAAGCTTTTTACTATGAAAATTTCCAAACACATACAAAAGCAGATGACAGCTAGCCATCATCCTGCTTCAACCGTGCCACCTCATGGCCACTCTTGTTTAGTCTCTACCCTTGCTTGTTACCCATCCCCAACACCCCCACCCCTCGCCCCACCCCCCAATGGATTTAAAGGACATCTCAGACATTGTGTCACCTCATCCCAAGATACTATTTTGAAAACGAAAAAGCCTGACTGTCTGAAAAGATGTGATCATTCATTAGTCATTCATTGTCCACGCATTCAACTAACACTTACCAAGTCACTCCGTTATGCTAATTAATAAAGTAGATTTGGAGATAAATCAGGCTAAAAAGGACCCCCAGATTCCAGGAGCTCCCAGTACACAATGTCACACTTGAACTGCCAGAAATCTTGTGATGTCACCTGATTGTTGTGCAAGATCTTCTTATACCCCACAACAACCTCAGGTGGGACAGGCTCTGCAAACAGGGATCTGCACATATTCTCTGCTGCAGCGTCAGTGCCTAGGACAGTGCCTGGCACACAGCAGGCCATCAATCAACATTTCTGGGGTGAACAGGGATGTTTACGAGCAGCTTCCTCCCAGGTCCCTCGTGCACACCCACCCCCAGGCTCCCACCAGGTGAGGGGCCGTAGCGGTGAGAACACATGTGGAGCTGAGGAGATTTTGCAATTCCACTGGGCAGGTCCAGCATGGATGGAGGAATGGGCAGAGCCCAGCAAGGACCAAGAGATCTAGCCCCAGCCATGTCCTGACCAACTGTGTGACCTTGGGCTAGTCACTTAAGACCTCCTACTGCCTCTGGGGCAAAAAAAAACAATAGAGCCAGGGCAGGCAAGGCCTGTAGGACATGGCCCACCTCTCCAGCCTCACATCCCCACTGTGTCTTGCTGCTGTAGCTCTCAGCCACTGGAAGCTCCTCAAACTCCTTCAAAAGCATCCTGTCCACCCTGCCTCTTGGCCTTGTCAGGGGTGGTTCCCTCTGCCATAGAGCCAGAGAGCCTGCTGTTGACTGACCGTGTGCCTGTCATCCTCACAAGGCTGGGAGCTCCTGCAGGACGGGGACCTCATGTGGGCCCCCTGGCTTCTTCAGTGCCCAACCAAGGGCTCAGCACAGAAGAGGCCCCATCTGTCTGCTGAATAAATGCCCAATGAGCAGCAAAGCCTGAACACTATCTGACCTTCCCCTCCAGCCTTGCCACATGGAGGTTCTAAGTCACTGGTAACTGCTTCAGAGGAAGTGTCTCAAGGAAGAAACACTGGAGCAGGGAGGAAGGAAAGGGTTGCCAACAGCCACCTCCTTAGCGGACTCCCAGAGACACTGTGCATGCTGGGAGAATGTGAGGCCCCCTCTCTGCAAGTGGCCCATCACAGAGGGGTTACTCAGAGACACATACCTGAATCACGCTCTGGCACCCCTCCACCGTGTCCGTCACCCCCAGCAGCACCCGGTGTCTCAGGAGGGCTCCATTGGCAGCCGCCAGCCGTAGGTCCGTGTTGGCGTTGGCCTGTAAGACAAATGCCAGGCCTCTGGCTAGACCTCCATGCTGCCAGGGAGCTCCCGGGCCCTGGACAATAGCCATACACTATCCCACCCCTAGACGTTACAGGACAATCCTCACCCTCAGAACTGTCCACCTCCTCCCCTATAAAATGGGGTTGTGGGTTGGGTTGTTGGGACAGTAAATTCATGCCTGACCAAGGTATGTCCCTTCCCTGAGCCTTGTTTTCTTCGGCTGTAGAATAAAGATAAAGATCGCCCTGCCTCCTAGGAGTGTGGTGAAATTTTACTAAGACTGTGTGTGAAGTGCTTCACCCAGCCTGGGACCCAGGAGGGGTGCAAAAGGTATTTGGAAGAGGCAGGAGAGCAGATGGACCTGAGCGCCTACTGTGCTCTGTCTCTAAAGCACCTACTTTAAAGTACCCAGCCCTGTGCCTGTCTTCAGAAGGGGCTCTGGAAATCAATCTCCTTCTTTTCCCACCCAAACCAAGGGGTGCCATGTATTCAGCTGGCAAAATAGATGCCAAGCAAGCCAGGGAGAAGAGGGAGGAAAGGTGACAGGACCCAAAATGCTGGTTTGGGGAAGAAACCACAAGAGGACTTTCAGAGGAAGGCAGGAGGAAGCAGCCCAATCAAGGACAAGGGTTCTCAAAAGGGGCAGAACCCCCAAGTGGAGCTTTTGGAAATGTGAGGAGGCCCTTTTGGTTGTCACAGAACAGGGATGGGATGGAAAATGCTGGCACTTAGTGGAGGAGGGCCAGGATGCTACAATGTGTCTTCCACTGAAGGACATCCCATGGGAGATGATTATGCATGTCAAGGAACTGTCCCCTAGCCTAACTGAACTCTGAATGCCCTGCTGGGTGTGAATGCAGGTGAGAAATCTACTAACAATTCTCTGATGGGCCCGCCTAAAGTCCATTTTATACAGACACCTAAAGTGTTTCTTTGAATGTATTTAAGGGGATTTTCTAGGAAGGCCACTTCCACAAAGTCCAGCACTATGCCAGGTGTTGGGGGTTGGAAGGATATGAAAATCAAGGGATGGTTATATTTCGTTTTGCCTATAACTTTAGTAAGCATTGTTGGCCCTTTCAGAAACACACATCATCAACAGTTCAAATCCTGACTCCATCTCTCACCTCCTGTATAACCTTGGGCAAATTACTTAACATCTCTCTGCCTCCATCTCCTCATCTCCGAATTGGAGAAAATGATCCCCCCTAGCTCCAAATGCTGTAGTAAGGATGAAATGAATTAATCCATGTAGAACACTTGGAAGAATGAACACTCAATGCATTTCAGCTGAGAATATCATTGTGATGGTGATACTGAATTTAAGACATGATGTTTTCCATTGTACCACGTTGACCACAAGAGAATATTTTTAGGAATTTCCCACATGCCCTATCAATGCACAGTGCTGTGTAGGGGATACAAGGCAGGGTCTTGCCCACCTTCACAAACCTTCTGATCTTGAGAAAGGCTAATAATGCAAAAAACAAGGAAAAACAAGGCAGCATATGCAAAATTTGAGGCTCTTGAGGATGCTATGCAACACAGGTAGGATTCTAACAGTAAAAGTGACAATGTGCAGGAAGCGGGTAATCTGCATGGTTCTGAATGATGAGGGATCCAAGGAGGAAGAGATCCTGGAGCTGAGACGCAGAGGAAGACCTGAGGAGGACTGTGTGACCATGGGTTAGTTACTCAATCTCTCTGAGATTCAGTTTCCCCACTGGCAGAATCAATAATAATAACAGTTAATACCTACTGAGCATTTACTTTGTAAAAGCTACTATTAAAGCATTTTGCATGTATTTAGTCATTTAATGCTCATAATTACCCTATAAGGGAGTTGTAATTATCATCTCATTTTACAGATGAGGAAACTGAGGCCCTGAGAGGTTAAGTAATAACCGCCCCCAGTATGCAGACCTAGCAAACAGCAGAGGTATCCCATCTTCTTATAAGGTTGTTGGGCATAGATATCAAGCCCCAACCACAGAGCACACAGTAGGTGTTCATTAAATGGTGGTCATTATTAGGAAAGGAATAGTCTTCTGAATGAGCACACAGTGGTGACAGCATTGCCGCTAAGAACCCAGGGCCTCAATGCTGCACCTACGAGTAGAGGCCGGCTCGTGCTCATCTCTGTGACCTGTGCCCAGCACGTTACCTGGTACTCACAGTAGCTTCATAAATACCAGGTGAATAAAAAGAGAAAAGGGAAGGAGGCAGAGAGCTAAAGCAGACATTCCCTTAAGTGCATTAGACTATCCAGGCGGCCCAATGAATTACATCTGCATCTTTGAAGTACCTGCCAGGTGCAGTTTTTGCTTGCTTTTACTAAAGAAGAACACTTTTCTTTTTCCCCTCCCCAAAAGAAATTTCTTGGTGCAGAAGCAGCCTGCTCAATTTAATTTTTATAGGCCAGCATAAAGGCTGTGAATGCTTCAACAGAGCCCAAGGGTAGCATTATTTTGTCAGCCTTGTGGCAAAGCCCAACAAAGATCCTTTCAGAATGGTTAAGCCATAAAGTTCTATTTGTCCCTGTGAACACAGGCACTAACTGGAATTCATACCCCAAACCCTGACTACATTTCCCAGCATCCTGTGCTCCCCGCTGAGTCAGGCAAGGGTGCAGTGATTGCTGAATATCTCAAAGTCCAGCACTATGCCAGGTGTTGGGGGTTGGAAGGATAGGAGCTTCCCAGTAACTGAAAAGACAGTGTAGGTGTGATTGGCAGAGTAACGGTCCCCCAAAGCTAAGTCCTAAGCCTCAGAACCTGTGAATACATTATGTGACAGCGCAAAGGGGAATTAAAGTTGTAGACTGAATTAATGTTGCTCATCAGCTGACCTTAAAGTAAGATTATCATCTTAGATTATCCGGGTGGCCCAATGTAATCACGAGGATCCTTAAAAGTGGAAGAGGGAGGCCGAAGAGTCAGAAAGGGAGATGTGAGAAAGACTCCACCCACCACTGCTGGCTTTGAAGATGGAGAAGCGACCACGAGCCAAGGTATCAGTGGCATCTAGGAGCTGGGAAAGGGAAGGAAACAGATTCTCTCCTAGAGCTTTCAGAAGGAATCAGCCCTGCCTTCACCTAGACTTTAGCCCAGTGAGACCCATGTTGCATTTCTAACCTACAGAACTGTAAGATAATAAATAAGTGTTACCATAAGCCACTAGATTTATGACAATTTGTTACAGCAGCCATAGAAACCCAATAAAGTAGGGTACTGACTAAGAACATGACTTGGCAGCTGAGTGCCCTGGCCTTGAATTCTGCCTCTGCCATTTATTAGCAGAATGGCCTTGGGCTGCTCCTTGAGCCTTCCTGAGCCTCAGGTTCCTCACCTGTAAAGTGAGTAGAATAGCCTCCACCCAGAGAGTTAATAGGGAACCTAGTGAGTTACCCTGTAAAACATTTAAAAGGCAAGCTACTATGTATGATGTGCTCATTACATAACAAAAGACAGACACTGAAGAAACAGATGCAATTAGTGAACCAAACATTAAACTGGGAGATATCAGTCTTCCTTCTGAAAGTGATTGGAAATCAGAGGGTTCAGGCTTTGAACCTCATCTCTGCCACTTACAATGGGATCCATGACAATTTACCTACATTCTCTGACCACCCCACTCTGCCTCAAAGATCACTGCTGGGATTAGAGACATGGATGTCAGCACAAAACCAGGTCAGCGTCTGCTCACCACAGGAGGAAATAATGTGAATCACCTCTCCCCAACCCTCAATCTCAGGCACCTTGTGCTGCAAGGTGGCTTCAGTAATCCTCCCTCGCTCACAGGGCTGTTGTGAGCATCCAGGGAGACAGATGCATAAAAGGGCTCAGTTAACCAAAGTAGTGGAAGAATATTAGCTATTGGTGCCCTCCTCCCAGACTCTCTCTCAAAACACAGCTTGCTTCCAGAGAAAAAAATCCACAGGGATTAGATGAAAAACAGAGGATTTAACAACCCATGTGATTTGATTTCTTTTAGTCACTGGGCATATGGGCTAGTGTGGATTTTAGTGGTTGGAGAAATTGAGCAGGCCAGAGAGAAAAGTCTGACTTGAGATTCTCATGCCTGCTCGGCCCTTCTGGAGGGAGTGTGGCAGGGATCTCCGGACATCTCACCTTCTTCTGGTGTCTCTCAAAGACGAGCACGAGAGTGAGGGTGAGGCTCACGGCAGCCAGGGTCACAAGCAGCATGCCTGCCCAGTGGTTGCCCAGGGCAAACATCTGGCTGGTGGAGTAGATATTGGCCCATACCACCATGTAGAAAACCTGCAAGAAGCCAGAGAGAGCATGTGGCCAGGAACATCAGTCTTCAAAAGAAGCAGTTCCATTCAAAAGGACATCCTCCTTGGATTCAAACAGCTCAGGAAGCCAGTAAGAGACTGAAGCAGATGGCTGGGTCTATGGGAATGAGCTCATACTCCTTGTTTAGAAGCAATGAACTCCTAATCCTTGTTTACTCTGATTATAAATTAAAAGGCAGGGGGCTCTGGAGTGAGTTTTGAGTCGGAAGCCCACAGTGATCCTTCAAATTCTATGCGGTCTTAGACAAGTTATAATACTTCTCTGAGCCTCAGTTTCCTCATCTGTAAAATAGGGATAATAATACTTCATAGCATTGTTATAAGGGTTAAGAAGGTAACAGCCCAGCACTTATTAGGGAATTAATAAATACTCATTCCCACCCCTTTCCCTTCTCCCTAGAAGTGAGACATGGGAGTCAGGCATGGTATTTGACCATTTATATATACAAAGCAACAGCAAATCATAGTGGTTATGACCACAGAAACCAGACTGCCTAGGTTCAAATATTGGCTCTGCCATATTGGTATGTATGTATGCATTTATGTATGTATATATGTAGGTATATATGCATGTTTATATGTACATGCATACATATGTGTATACAATGGTACTTCAAAAAGTCCATGGAAAAATAGAATTGAAATATAACACGAATTTTTCCATGAACTTTTTGAAGTTCCCTCATAGATATGTATATATGACTTGTGCTAAAGTGGACCTGTCTATTGGACAGAAGGGGAAACCAAGTCCCAGAGGTTGGCAAAGTCTTGGCCAAGGCAGACATTGAGTCCAGAGCCCATTGAGACTGCAGGTTCCCAATCTGGGCTCTGCCCACAGTAAACCCTGACTCCCATCCAAACTGGAACCTGGTTATAACTTTTTTCAATAAACTTCCTCATGTATCAAATCCAGGTCAGTGCAGTACTGCTCTTTCCCAGGCAGCTGGGCAACAAGCTTCCAAACCCCTTACTTGCACCACTCCGGGACATGATGCTGAATTCAGCAAATGCCCAGGGTAGGGTTGGCGTGCAGCCCCCACCTCCTTCCTTACCACAGCAAAGGCCAGCTGCATGGGCCTCGAGTTGTAGATGATGTATCTTCTCACTTGGGGCTCCAAAAGGGCACTCTCAGCCAAGCTCCTGTACTGTTCGGATGGAACCTGCCCAGCCACCCAAAGGAAAGAGATCAGTCAGCCACAGGAGAACGACTCCCTATCTCCTTCCCACCAAGTTCATGTGACTCTCATAAGAAAGGGAGATTAGGAACATTCCAGGCCACCCCAGAGGGCAGAATGAGGAGCTCAGAGCACTGGGTGGAAATTACAGGGCGCAGCTCTTAGCTCAGGGAAGAACAGGCGTCATGGGGAGGCAGGTCAGCTCAAGATACAGGAGGACATAGTGGAGAGAGATCCCTGAGATCCCTGCAGCCTGGCAGCAGGCACAGGGTGGCCTCATGGTTAATACATAGGCCTTGGGGCCAAACAGCCCTGGATCCAAACTCTGGCCCTGCCCCTCATGTGCTGTGTGACCTGGGGCAAGTAACCCCACTCCTCTGAGCCTCAGTTTTTTCCTCTATAAAACGAGAATAATAAGAATGCCCACCTTGTTGGCCTGGGGGGCATATTAAACAGGATAACACATATACAGAGCTTGGCATAGAACCCGTCCCATAGTAAACACTTGATACACAGGTGCTATTATGAATACTGCAACATCAACAGCTGTTGATACAGTCCAAAGTACCAAACATTCACAAGTTCCTGCCCAAACAAAAATGTCTACAGAGCATCAAAGCCCTATGAAAACAGACTTAAGAAAATAGAATTTTGGGCCGGCCCGGTGGCGCACTGCGCTAGTGCGCCGCTTGGGAAGCGGGGAGGCGCTCCCGCCGAGGGTTCGGATCCCACATACAGACCGGTTCCCGCTCACTGGCTGAGCGAGGCGCGGGGGCAATGCCGAGGGTTGCGATCCCGTTGCCAGTCCCGGTCCGGTACGGGGGCGACACTGAGGGTTGCGATCCGTTGCCGGACACGGAAAAAGAAAAAAAA